GCGGGGTCGCCTCGTCGCAGCTGGGTCCCGGCCGCAGGCCCGCCCAGCAGCTCGGGCAGGCCAGCCGCGGCGCCCGGAAATAGGCGGCGCGTGGCTTGAGGTGCGCGTCTCCTCCCCCTCGGCCACTCGAGGGCGACACCCCAACTGATGACCCCCTCAAGGGGCTGGAGTTTGAAGAGCAAGAGTGGCTTTGCCCTCAGGGATGAATTACCTCTGGAGCGGGACTGGGGAGTACTGTCAACTCGAAAGCGACAGGGTAATGACCCCCACCCCCACCCCCAGGCCTAGGAGAAGCGAGCAGATGGGTTCCTCCCTGTTGCCAAGGACAGCTCAGCGAGTTCCACGCAGGATAATGAGCCACTCCCCTGGGGGAATTTAGTGTCACATTCCTAGAGGACCTGCATGTTGCGGAGAACAGCTACCCCTGAGGGAGCCAAACTTGCTCTGGCTCTAATGCAGGAAGATGTGCCATGTGCTTTCTGACCCTATAGGGTGCAGTGGTAATTTTTAGTAGTAAGGGGTGGGTGCAAATATCTGGTGTCCTGGGTTGTCAGCCACAAGTGCCATCATATATCCCTTCTAGAACTGAAGTCAGGCCATGTCTCTGCCCCATAACTGTCTCAGTGCCTTCTGAGAGGAGGAAGCAGCCAGGACCAGGAAGGTGTTCCTGCAGCCACCCGGCCATTGAGAATGTCTTATCACAAGCTTAGGGAGACCACCATTGTTAGATGCCACATACAGCATTCCCTGCCATGTTTTCACAGGTGTTTCATATTTAGTGTATCAAATGCACCCGAGAAGGACCTTCCGCCAGGTACGGTCCAGTGAACAGAGCAAGGACAGCATATGCCTTGTGCGGTATAAATGCAGTAGGGAATTTATACGACATTTTAGGTTCTCTTCACACCTCCTGGCTCTTCTCATTTCCTCGACATTTTAGGTTCTCTTCACACCTCCTGGCTCTTCTCATTTCCTCTTCACGTTTCTTTGATTCCATGTATGTTAGCGTTTGATTACTGAGAGGAAACCAAAGGAAGGAAGATGTATCTGGGCTCATGGTTTCAGAGGTTTCCATCGTAGCCATTTGATTTGTCCTGAGTTGATGGAGCAGACCTTCTCAGCCCCTAGCAGCTGGGAATCAGACGTGGGAACAAGATGTGTCTCCCAGGACTAGCTCCCTACGACTTACTTATTCTAATGAAGCTTCACCTTCGACTTTCTACAACCTCCCAATATTGTGATTGGTTATTGATAAGACAGGTCCTTCAGGAGATCATGTCAGAGATCAAATGTCAACAGTTTGGCTATGCCATGTTACCACAGATTTATCATGGTCACTAAGTCTTAACCTATGAACTGTTCTAAAAATATGATAGCCTGGGGTGGTGGCACACGCCCTGGAATCCCAATCTCGGAAAGCAGAGCTGGAAGGATTGGCACAAGTTTAAAACCAGCCTGGTCTACATACCTGGTTCTACTGCCACCTGGACTATAGAGTGAGACGCTGCTCCCCTATCTGGTCAGGGAGCAAGCATACTTGCTGCCAGACTTGACAGCTGGTGTTCAGTCCCTGAAACCTGCGTGGTGGAAGAAAACAGAGTCCCACAATTGTCCTCCGACCTCCGCATGCACCGTGGTGAATGCCTGCACTCCTTCCCATAAGTCGTTAAAGAAAAATTCTAAAGCACAGGAATAAATACAAGCAGCGTGACGTGTCCTTAACTCCTCTTGTCTCTTGCCCGGGTCTTGCTGGAGTTTAGATCCTGAGTTTCTCATGTGCGGGACAGATGCTCTCTCTACTGCTGAGTTACAGAGCAAGGACATTCCGATCGCTTATATTGTGATACCTATTTGATCCTTTTTAAAAAATACTCATTTTTAAAGGTTGTTTTTTTTTTTAAAAAAATTACAGGTACTTGTGTGAGTATGGGGTGTGTTATGAGCATGTGCAGGCAGACACTGGATCCTGTGGAACTGGAACTCTGGGCAGATGTGGGTGCTAGAAACCAAACTTGGAAGAGCAGTACACGCTATTAACAACTAAGCCACCTTCTCCAGCCCATTGTTGTTGTTGTTGTGCATGGTGGGGGTGTGGAGAGCTTTGTGTATGTGCATACAGAGGCTGGACAGATGGACAAGGGCGTCAGGTCCTGTGGAGCTGGGATGTTGGGAGTCACTGCGGTCCTCTGCAAGAGCAGTATTTGATCAAGCACCAAACCATTTCTTCATCCCTACAAACATCTTAGTTTGTTTCCTGGTTGTGAGATTGCTAAAATACATGGCTTGGATTTTTCAAACAACAACAACAACAACAACAACAACAACAAAAACGTTAGCCAAGTGTGATGGTCCACACCTTTAATCCCAGCAGAGGCAGAGATTGGACAACCCAGTCTAAATAGCAAGTTCCAAGTCAGCCAAGATCTCAGACACTGTTAGTTAGAAAATCTGCATCTGCCTCTAGAGATAGGATTAAGTTAGAAGGAGGACCACCCCAGGAAAAGGAGGTGGCGGATGGGGTGGTCTCCCTCACGTGAGGGATATTTACTGAGGTCCTGCTTGCGATGTTGCTGATGCTGGGGCTGTAGGGGCGAGAGGCAGGCTAGCGCTCTGCTGCAATGCGGGCATGCAATTGGGAGGAAAGGGAGGTAACTTACAAATGCTTTTCCTTGAGAATTAAAGTACATTTCCAGCCCTACGTAACCCTACCCCACAGGAAGGAGTGGGCCCAGCCTTTGGAAGTCCTGACTGTCCCGCTGGGCTGCTCGCGCTTTCTTGTTTGATTTTGTTTGTTCTGAGATAGGGTTTTTCTGGGTAGCCTTGGCTGGGGTGGAACTTGCTCTATAGACCAGACTGGTCTTGAATTCATGGACATCTGCCTGCCTCTGCCTCCGGGTTGCTGGGATTAAAGGCGTGCACCTCCACTACCTGGCTTTAGTTGATCTTTCTAAAACCAGCTTTAGGAGCTAGGGATGAACCTGTGAAAAAGAGTTTCCTTTGCATGCACAAAACCCTGAGTCTGACCCCCAGCGTCATATGAACAGATTTAACTAAATGTGTGTGTGTGTGTGTGTGTTTGGAACGGTCTCTATGTAGCTGAGGTTGGCCTCAAATCTATCGTCCGACTGCCTCAGCAGCCCAAGTGCTCGCGCAGACACAGCACAGGCTGCACCGGCTCATAGCGCAGATCTTAATCGAGTTCAGTTACTTTTGTTGTTATGTGGTTGGTATTGGGTAACCCTGGGACTTTAGTAAGACTGTTTTTCAGTGAGGGTGCCAGCCAATCCCATGAGGAAAGAGTAGGCTTCAACAAACGGCACTGGCCCCTCAGTATAACTACATGCAAAAGAATGAAGCTGAACTCCAGCCGCTGCCACACAGCTATAAAAAGCGTAAGTATCTGAGCTCACATTATAAACCTCTTCAATAAAGACAAGGTACCGAACTTTGAACCTTGAATTAGGCAGTCTTTTTTTTTTTTAATTTAATAGAGAAACATGTAAAACAAAAGGAGAAAGTAGTTTACTTTATCACAACTTAAATTTTGTCCTGTAAAAAAGCCGGTCACTATAAAGACCCCACAACATGGGGGAAGTCCTGGTCATAAGAGCCCAGAATCTGGACTGTCTCAAGTACTGTTTCTTACAATGACAACATGCTATAGAAATAGGCAAAAGAAAAAAACAAACAAGCTTTTCTTTACCCAGGTAGTCTGTGCACTTGGAAGGCAGAGGCACAGTGGGTCAGGAGTCAAGGTCGTCTTTGGCACATAACAAGCTCAAGTCCAGCCAGGGTTACATGAGGCCTCATCTCAAACCAAAATGGCGAGAAGTACATTTTATTTGAAACTAGAAGTACATTTTTTTTGAAACTATGTAAATGGTTAGTAAGGAGCTGAAAAGATACACAATGTGATTAGTTTTTAGACAAAAACTTCAACTCAGTGTCACAATGAAATACCATTTCATCCACACAAGCAAGGCTTATGAAAAAGATATTCAGGCTGGACAGTTGGCTCAGCAGATAAAAGCACTGACCAGTTTGATTTGTGGCAGATCATAACCATCCGTAACTCCAGTCCCACTATATCTGACTTCCTCTTCTGGCCTCAATGGGCACTAGGCATGCACATGGTGCACACATATGAAGGCAAAACATACAGGCACATAATAAAATTCAGTTAAAAAATGGTCAATAAAATGGAGGCTGTAACTCTAGTCCCAGGTGCTCTGATGCCCTCTTCTGGCCTCCTGGGCACCAGGTAGGTACTTGGTTTATACACATGCGTGCAAACACAATGCCTATACACATTAAATAAATAATTTTTAAAACATGGATGACTGAGCCAGGCAGTAGTGGCACACACCTTTAATGCCAGTACTCGGTAGGCAGAGGTAGGTGGATCTCTGACTTGGAGGCCAGCCTAGTCTACAGAGTGAGTTCCAGGACAGCCAGGATTACAAAGAGAAACTCTGTCTTTAAAAACAAAAACAAAAAAACCCAAACTACATGTGTGCGTATGCTCGCACACACACACAAACACACACACGGATGACTGGAAGTAGGACTCAGTGGTAGTGGTAAGCATAGAATTACCATGTGGCTCAACAAGTTCAGTCCTAAATATATATTTCAGCGCTACTTTGTTATTTTGAAATGGGGTCTCACAGTGTACCCCCGACAGGCCCAGGATTTGCAGGGACCTCACACTGTAGCCCCGACTGGCCCAGGACTTGCAGGGACCTCACACTGTAGCCCCGACTGGCCCAGTATTTGCAGGGGCCTCACACTGTACCCCCAACTGGCCCAGGATTTTCAGTCATCTTCCTCCTGCGGCCTCTTGAGCACTGGGATTGCAGATGCCACACCCTGCACTTCAGAGATTTTAAAGAAAGGAGATCGTTTCTACAAAACCTTGTATGAATGATCATAGCAGCACGTGTAAAGGCCAGGAAGAAGATAACCTAAATGTCTCCCAAGAAACGAAGAGAGAGTGGCTCCTACAGGAACCCACCTCACCTGCCCCCACTGAGATCTCTCTGCTCTGCATTCAGCCTCTCCACCCAGCCAGCCCTCTCCCACCCCTCTCCAGGGTCTAACCCAGTGACTGTGTGGATCACACTGAGTGAGGTAGCCCGGTCCCAGAAAGATTAACGTCAGGTGTCCTCTCTCATCAGAGGCTTCTAGCTCCAGCTCTTCAGATGTAAGTGTGGTTCTTGTTCCTCATCAAGGAAACTTCTCTTTGCAGTGGATGGAGACCTTTACAGAAAGCCACAGCCAATCAAAATGCCGAGCTAAAAAAAAAAGCCCAGTCCTAATGGATCCATCTACAACTTCTGCACCCAAGACTTGGGGAACTTTGCAGGAGAGGGGGCAGAAGGATCGTAAGAACCAGAGGATGGGGAGGTGGCCGTGAGATTGTGCCTCTTGGGAACATCAGAAGCTACACCCATACTCTCACCAACATGGCTGCCCAAACATAAGCTGGAAACTGAAACAATAACAGGCGTGTCAAAGTGGATGGGGAAGACCAGGCCTCATTCTACACAGAGAGCGACAGGCAGTTCAGGAAGGCTGGGGTGGGAGGCATGCTCCTGGGTGTCTGTCAATAACAGAGGGTCAGCCCTGGAAACATGCATGTGAGTAACACTATACAGACTGATTAGGTTGTATGTAATATATATGATGATTTATTACATGTGTATATATCATATACATTCCTAATATTATGATATTAAGAACAAACATATACATAATACATGATATGTATTAGTAAGATAATACATATACAATATATTAGGAATGTATATGATATATTTCTCATTGTTATGTGCATATATATGTGTATACATATGTGTGTATATATATGTTCATGTAACAATAAGAGGCCATGAATTTGAAAGAGATCAAGAAGAAAGTTTGAAGGGAAGAAAGAAAAAGGGGCTGTGATATAATTATATTATAATATCAAATAATAAAAAAGAACAGATAAAATGTAGCATATGCAGCCAAGCATGGAGGCTCATGTCTTTAATTCCAGTACTTAGGAGACAGAGGCAGGCAGATCCCTGTGAGTTCAAGGCCAGCCTGGTTTACAGTGTGAGTTCCAGGTCAGCCAGGCCTACACAGTGAGCCTGTGTCTGGGGAAAGAAGCAAACCCTATCTGTTAGAATCGTACTCAGATACAAAAGGGGATGCCTCACAGCTACATGGTACGCCGTATGTGGAATTCGCAGACTTTATACTGAAATAATCTACACGCAAACTCCAAATCATATGGTTCTGTTTATTAGTCATCCCAGGCTGGGCTAAAGTATAGAAACAGAAAGTAGATTGCCAGAGGTCAGAGGCCAGGGGAAGGAAGCAGGGGCAGGGACTACGGCTGGGTGGAAAGTTTCCCTTTGGAGAGGTGAAGAGACTCTGAAAATGAGCGAGCGACGATGCTGAGTTGTTCACTGCTGGCTGGGGCAGGAGGGCTGCAAGTTACAGGCCAGAGTGTGTGTGTCTGTGCTCAGTACATGTTTGTACATGCTATAGTACATGTCTGTACACGCTATGTTCCTGTCTATGCCTGTATCTGTATGTATACGTGGAAACCAGAAGTTGACCTCAGGAGCTGTCCTGTTTATATTTTCAAGTCAGGTTTCACTATGTAGCCCTGGCTGTCCTGGAATTCACTATGTAGACCAGGTTAGCCTCAAACTTGCACAGACCTGCCTGCC